CCCCCCCCCCCCCCCGCAGTAAAACGTTTAAAATAGGCACTGGCATGTTAATAATGTTACAATCATAAAATATACATAAGTAAACTGGAACATTTAAATAACAGGAAATACGAACGTTAAAAGAAAGAGGGATATCTTAGTATTTTGGTAAACAGGATGGAATGTGCGAACGTAGGAACGTTTTGTATGTTGACTACAAAACAGTTCCCATAGCTGGAGCAACAAAACAGTATATGCTATATTATAAGTTCAATGAGCTTGAGTTCTCTATTCAGTTCTCTATGAGATCAGCTGAATTTTCATTTGGTGTCTGAAAAAGGCGAACAATATAGTTGCTGATTACGCCCCAGCGCTTGTAATAATGACTGCCTTAAATTTGTGGCGTATTAAAATATAACTGTAATATATTTGTAAGGTTTTAAGTTGCAAAGACCTTTGCTTCGTGCAACACGACTTTATATAAGGTTTAAAGTTTATAAGGTTTTATACGAAACAAATTAAACTTATAAATTAAACTTTATAAGTGCAACCAGACTTACTAAGGTTACGAAACAAACTAACTGTACATAAACTATATAAGGCGTGCCTTAAGTTGCCCCGTGGCCGTGTCCCAACAGAGGGAGACAAAAAATACACTAACTTAATTTATATATTGCATGAATATCTAGATGTGACTTTAATTATCTGTATAAATTTAACGTCTCATCCGTATATTATAAAAATCTACGTATGCCCAAATAGGTTTCCTTTTCAAATGCAAAGCCTTGTCAACCATTCTTAAATGTATATTTTTGTTTAGGTTAAAATAGTGGCGAATTGCAACTGAAATCCTATACAAAATATTTATAGATTGTTTATTTGGCCTCTGGGTAAGTTTAAACTTTGTTTTTCACTTTCAATATAAAACCGGAATTGTATAGATAAGGAAGAGGATATGGTGCTTTAAGTGTTTTGAAAATCAAAACAGTTTTGTTGCCTATATACATGGAATATTGTTGTAAATATTGGTCGGCTTAATGTTGAACGACTAGACAGAAAATTCTGGAGCCGAACCAATTAAGATTTAATTTGACCACAAAAATGGCAATGCAAATAAATGTCTGGATTATGCACTCATGCATGCGTATCTAAATATCTATGTTTTATTATAGTTTAAACATTACTATATGAAGATTTAGACTTCACTTCTAGACTTTGCTCTTTGGAGCAATTGTGGAACAATTTCGTTGTGCAATGATTTACCCATTTTAGAAAGTGCATACAGTCATTTCAATTAAGGTTGTCCCCGAGCAAAGCGGAAAGTCGAATACGAGCGCGAAAGGCTGCTGGGAATTGCTATGAAGTATGAAAATTCATTAATTTGTAAGGGATTCCCTGCAGCCTTTCGCGCTCGTATTCGACTATTCCGCTTTGCTCGTGGACAACGTTAATTGAAATAGCTGCATATATACTTTAAGTTAAATTTAAGAAAGCTGTGGTTTGAGGGGGCTTCAACTACCTGAAAAAAAAACAAAGCTTCGACATTTCGAGCGAAGGCCCTTCGTTCGAAGGTCTAAATTTAACCATGAATCTGGTTGTCCAATTACCTAGATGTCATTCTTATGCAGAAGGCACTGCCGCATGCATAAACAAACACTATCACAAACCGAGGCCAGCCAATGGCGTTATGAATATAGCATACATGCAGCAATTACTTATTCAAAGTTAACTTCACAAGATCATGGGTCTCTTCATTATCACCAATTTTCTCTGAACCATAACCCCACCCAATCCTGGTAACGCTTGCTAAACTATCATATATACATCCATGGTTGTATTTGGTTATTTTTGGGCAGTATTTCAAGTGTAACAGACTGGAACGGTCGAATATAGTGCAAATGTGGTGAACTGGACTTTATACTGGATAGCTCTATCATTGACAAAGTGTTCTTCCCAGAGTTCCAGTAAGGGCCACTATATTTATATTGCTACAATGTTACATGAGAAAACCGTGGAGTACCCGGAGAAGATCTGTGGTGTTTGGTAGAGTCAAACTGGAATAATTTTTTTTACCAATTCAGGCGAAATTATTTAATCAGGATACATGCTTTGCAGGAATCGTGAAGGAGTCATGAACGTGTTTGTCTTCTTATGGATGAGAACGAGTGGATGATTTATGAATGTTCAGAAGAGGGTACAAATACTGACAACATTCATAACTCATTTACTCGTTCACATGCATCAGAAAATCGCACCACAAAGCCGGACCTTTAAGAAATCAGGGTATAGCTAGATTCCATATTGATGACTAAATGTAGGGCTATTTTAGTTGCAATGTATGCACTGTGGGATTAAAACACTATAGCATTTAATGACATGCAGGTATTTCAGGAATGGTATAACATTGACCTTGATCATTTTTAAATTATGCGTGTTTAAATAGAGAAATGAGCCGTATCGAACGACGCCTGTACTTAATGATTAGGTAAAGTACATGTTTATACTGTCTGTGAGAGGGCTAGTGTAAGTCAATAAGCGTTAAATGTTAAGTATGCATGCATCGATCTTAAGTGCGCCATGCGTTCGTGCATAAGAGCTCTTGAACTGAGTATCGCCTTTGAAACAAAATCGCGGAAAGATGCTTTGTGTGAAATCTTCAATGCCATGCAACCCTGGGGAAAATTATACCTCGGTTTAAATATCCGAAGGAACCTCAGCTTGAGTTCCAGTTGCTCAAACTTAGCCAATAGCGCTAGGAGTCTGGAGTTCATGTGTTCACGTCTAATATGGAACTTCAGGAATATTTTTCTTGCCGAACTTTAACGGCTTGTTCATGCAAGTAAAGTAAACAAATATAGGAAGAAACAAAAAGCATGCGATGTATAATTTTTTTACTCCATCCCAATATCGCTGAATATCTTTACCTAATTAACTATCAAGTATATCTTCAGGCATCGCAGGGCCCGCGGAGCGTATTAGAGAGTGGGGGGGGGGGGGG